TATGTTGCACTCGCTCAACGGAAAGTTGAGAGAAAAGCAAGAATGCTGGTAATATTCACTTAGATGGATTTACTTGTATGACTAATCTATGCAGATGTGTCAGGTGTGCATATTTTCTCTGCCTTTTGTCTTATTTGCTATGGCTTGCATGCAGGCCCAGTTTTCACAGTTGCAGTTGCTCCAGCGCTTGCTCCTTGTGTGGCAATGTATCCTCCGGGTGCCCCAGGTATTGGCCAGCAAATGTTTTATGGCCAAGCTCAACCTGTTATGATTCCTCGCTAGGTATTACTGTTTTTATATAAATTAATTGATCAAGATTTTGCCTGTTATCGTAGTCAATCTCTCAAATGATAAAAATATTTTCAAAGTTGAGTTTGAACTATCAAACCCGTTAGAGTAATTTTACTCTATGCTTAGCGTTCATAAATCTTTATTACCATTATCTTCTGCTTCATTGGAGACATGCAAGGTGTGATGTTAAATAATGACAATCATACGCAAAATGTGTGTTATTGATGCCCTTTATTGTTATAATACGCCTCTAAGGCCACTTCTAATTAGTTTTACCGTGAGTTGTTGATGCAGCTTTGAAGTTAATAACTGACTATTAGTATTCCTACTTAGTTTGTCATTGTGCTTTATCCTGTCCAATTTTCTTGTTTTGGTTATACTTCTTTAATAATGTTCTGCACATTGGTGAGCTCTTGCACTACACTATGTGTTAATTTGTGAGTATAATTGGGTTAAGATCAGCCAATGGGGTTTGGTAGAAAAATGATGATTTGTTTAATTATTTTTGTATAGGGAATTGAATGCGAGTATTGCCACAATGATATTGCTAGGCTCAACCCCAGGACTGTTGGTATTGGTTAGGAAGGAATTGTCTTAATCTTGCAAGTTTGACAAGCCAAGTAAAGTACAAGAAGTCACTCTGCCTATGATACTCACTCCTCCACATACTCTGCCTATGATAGACATTGTGCACAAATTTTATTTTGATGTTGTATCATTATCTAAAATGTGTTGCCTTTTTTAAACCTTGCTCCACTAATATTTAAGTAAATATTAAGTTATTAGATGATATAAATATTTCGAATATATGATTTATTTTTGTTTTGTGATTAATATTTTATATTTGAAATAAATTTTACTCCCTCCGTCCCCCTGTATTTGTCCACTTTCATTTTTACACACCATCCAATGCACTTCTTTAATCCATTTTATCTTGTAATTTGTATATTAAAAAATTATAGAAATTATATATTAATAATCTATATGTTAAGACAAATCAAATAAGATCACACATGACTATATTTAGGCTTACACATTGAGAGAATTTGATGAGTCAAAGTGCTTAGATGAACAGTTCCAAAAATCAAATGTGGACAAATACAAGGGGACGGAGGGAGTAATTATTAAATATGGGTGCTTATGATTTAGAGAGACAACATAAAATAACTGCGTTCGGATAAACAATTTGACCACTGTTCAACTTGATAGTTTGAATCGTATGCCGACAACTACACAAACTTGTAGTGTTACTCACTGCTAGACATCTCAAACACAGTTGTTTGAAATGAAACAAAATAGTCTTCTATGTTCTAGATATACCTTTAAAAACAACAGTTGTTCGATGCAAATATTTCTAGTGGTCTTTCAAGCAGTTGTCTAATAAACAATCCGATTACTACTCAAAAATATAGTTTGAATATTTCAAGGACCACTAAACAAAATAATAGTGTTAATAATCATTATACAACAAAAACGAACAGTTATTTAAAATAAGACCAAAGTAGTAGTCTTAATTTGTACATACAACACAAAATAATAATTGTTTGATGAAAATATTTGTAGTGGTCTTCCGAGCAGCTGTCTGATAATTAATTACACTACTGTTTAAAAATATAGTTTGAATATTTTAAGGACAACTGCAAAAAAAGTGCAGTGTTATTGCGCACTATACAATTGAAAGAAACAGTTGTTTAACATACAACAAAATTAGTAGTCTATGCTTTAGAAATATAACACTAGATAACAGTTGTCTGATACTATTTTTGTTTAGTAGTCTTCCGAGCAGCAGTCTGATATATCTTTCAACTACTTTAGAAATTAGATATCTATATTTTTGACCGACAACACCAAACAGTAGGAGTCTGAAGTCGAAAA